AGTGTAGGCGTCCCTGCATACGTGGGTTTTGGCCGGCGCCAGCTTGTTTGCACCAGCCGTTGCCACCTGGCGCAGCACCAAAACGTGCAGTCGCGGAAAAAAAACTTGAAACAAGCCCAGGTCGCTCGCTTTTCAAAAGCTTTGCCTAAAAGTTTTAAACTGTACTTGGGAACGTTGTTTGCTCAAATCAAGTGCTTCTAGAAATGCTACTCTAAAAAAACCAGTTGGTTGATTGAATTCGTTGCAGGGCAGAATTTTGAAGATTACGGCGAGGAGGCACTTTGAGGAAGGGGGAGGGGGGCCTGCGAATGGGGTGAGGGCTGCAAATGTAATGTAGGAGTCAACTTTATCTTCTCAGACGGGTCTACTACTAACTGCCTTTCCCCGCAGGCACGAAAATTTCGGTTGCTTCAGGTGGGAGCCGATCCGGGCTTTGAACCCAGACCACGCTTGTGGTAAGTGGCGCCACTTGCCACTACACTATCTCCGCTTAAACAAAATTTGAATATTATTTATTATAACATTATATTCTTAGCTTCTGACCCTAATACTGGTGTATAAGAAGAGATTAGATAGCTTAGAACAGATGAAAATGCCTTTTCAAAGCTTGTTCCAAGTTTTTTTTCTCCGCATGCACAAAGGGACGCATCCATCCTACGCTCTGATAAGCACTGTAAGTGGTGCTACCTACGTGGTATTCACACACTGGGACCGAACTGATTTAACAGGAAGTTACTACAGGGCTCAGGGCGACAGCTGCATACAATCTCGTTCGCTGTGGATGTGGGGCGTGTCAGTCTGGCTGGGTTTGGCGCACCCATCCCGTTCTCCTTTGGCGGGCAAGTGACAACGATTGGTGGGAAACGGCTGATCCGAACGATATGATACAGTGTTGCCGCTTGCCGAAAGAAAAAAGGGGAAAAAGCCGGGGTCGCGGCAAGCCCATCCTCCTTGACACGCCCCGTCATCTACGGCGAATGATACTGTAAAATAAGTGTTATTAGAGAAGTGTTAGAAAGGTGCCTCTCATAGTACACCCCTTTCGAGCTGTTATTTCTTTCCAATCTGGGCTATTCATCGTTTGATAACGTCAACGATACACTGATGGCGTCGTACTCTTTTTAAGGTTCTTTTCTGCTACCTCCAATTACTACCTGCCTTGATGAGAAGGAGAATGCCATAGTGGTCAAGGATGGCTACATGTCCAAAGCACCAGTTTTAGGTGAGTTCAAGTCTCTCAAATTATAAGATGCTTCCGAGCACTTAATCAAATCATAGAGCATTCAGATAAGATTTGTGGCGACGAAACGGGCTATAAAACAGTGGTGTCTACGGGTAGTAGGCTATATGTCGAACTTCATTCCACCTTGTTACCAGCTCTTCCAATAGGAAAATATAACTCCATCTGTGGTGGACCCATTTTTGCTGACAGCGGAGTGATTCAGGTAAGAATTATTCTAGCCATGTGCATTCAGTGACGAGTGGGCGCGATGATACAATACCACTAGCCCGCCTAACCTAGTCTGGTAAGGTTTCTAATATAATAGGACTCATTTTGCAGAGCCCCAGGTATCCTGAGTCCTATCCACCAAACGCTGATTGTTTTTGGACGGTGCACGTTTCCGAAGGCTATCAGGTTGCCGTCGACATCGTATACTTTCATGTAGGTTCACCTGTGTAGTTATACTTACCTTCGAAGAGTCAGGTGTCACGTTGATGTGTATTACACTGTCTGGAGAAGTTTCGGAACAATTTCAGAAATTCATACTTCCCTAGTGCAGTCACGCAGTCATGATCCCTCCCTGCAAACGATAGGGCGTCTGAAGAGGCGTGGCTTGGAGCGCAGCCAGATCGACTTTCCACCAGTTGTGGCGGGCTCATGATGGCGTTAGTGGTGAAATAAGGGCACCCTGGCTGCGCTCAAGCAGGCGCTGAGTTACACGCCCTATCGCTTGCGGGGGTCGTGACTCTAGGAGCACTCATACTGAATGTTCTTTTGCGTGTTGTAGGAACACTACATGGACCACACATGTGTGGTTCGTTTTTCCTGCGCGCACCTGGTCCTGGAGAACTGAACGTCTGCTGTGCAGTCGACCAGTCTCTTTCCAGGATGCGGGAAGCTTCCACTTTCATTCAGTAGTATCGTAGTGATTTATCGAATATGGCCCCAATGATTTGCGGTAGGCGGTGTTCTCAGTCTTTCAGACCGTATTGTAACGATTTACCGTCCCTGGGGGCAAGCCGATCCAGGATTTGGTCTCTGCACAGGCGCGCGCGTGTGCATCGGTCCCACTGCCAACTATTATACAGGGGGGGGGGCAAAAAAAGTCATTTTGCCTCCATGACTTTCAAGGCGCTATAAGTTACACTTTATTAAATTTTTATCGGACATTTTTACTACCATATTAAAGAGCACATTAAATACTATAATGATACTCCGCCACAGCCTTCTGGAGGAGCGCCATCGAGAGATTCGGCCGCGCGAAAGTGAGTGGGTACCGGAGTTGAGCGAGATCGTTGATTTCTCCGCCACTGTAGACCACCCTGTTGAGCTCCGCCCGAACCGAGTAATGAGGGGGTTTTAGTTTTCAGACCCCGATTTGAAATACTCCAATCTTTTCGCAAGTACTCACGTTCTTCCATTCCAAGTAGGCGAAAGTTTTTCCAACGCCCTTCGATTAAATGTGTTGTCACCCAATCCTGTAGCAGTACAAAGTTTCCAAGAAGGTACGGGCGACGACATGAAGATGGGATATTCTCCTCGAGTTGCTCGATGTAGCCACCAGCGCACACCCTCAGTCTGGGGCCCACGAAGAAAATATCGGTTCATCCATTCCAGGTACGGCCGGTCCACACCATCAACCCGCGCCTTGGTGAATGGGGTGAAGATGATGTCCTGGACCGTAGCGACGTTGCCGGAGCTGCTCGATGTTTGAGGTCTTGCAGATCAAGAGTACTGGTCTCCAGGTAGCTATCCATGGGTGATTCCATTCAAGAAGTTCCGCAGCTGTTTGGAGGCCACGTGAATTCCAAAGGCGTTCTCCACTCAGGCCGCGACTGGAGATGACTTCATATTTTGGTGTACATGAAGGTGAATGGCGGCAGCCGGCTCCTGCTTATAGAGGAAGATCTTGGGTATCTTCCGCCCTGGTACTCATATCCACTTCCTCTGTCTGGGCTGCGAAAACTTCGCTCATATGTGACTCGGCCGGAATGACTTTTTTTGCCCCCCCCCCCCTGTATTATTTCCGCCTCTATTGGACGCATAGCTCGATTGATATTGCTGACGGCCGCTTGTGCCTCACGATTATACCTGACTTCATATAGCGACTGTTTACAATATTCTCGTGACGATTCCATTTTTGAAAGCACAGTCCGCGATAATCAAATGGGCGGAGAATGTGAACACTAAGCCTTTCTCAACGGTATGTTTTTCTTCCATACTTGAAGACGGGGATCCATTAGTGAAGAAAGCGCACTGGTTGTGAGTTGCCGCCCACATGGTTATCGCATAATGTCTCCTAAATAAATGTTAAAATAAGTGATGACGTTACTAGAACTTGTTCAAAGGGTTAAAGTAAAAGGCAAGAAGATGCTTTATGGATATGTTCCACGCGTGGATCTTTTCCAGAAGCTGTCCGAACAATCTAAAGTGTTTAAAAATCGATATTATTTCCACCTAGGGGAAGCCTTTTCGGATTCACTTCATTCTACTGCAAGACAATTTAGCTTGAGCAGCACAAAGACTGCATCTATGACCGCGTGGTTCTCTGGGAGAGCTCTGAGAGCGGAGCCCCTCTTGCTACCCTCTGTGGTGTGGTCACTGGAAGGCAAATTGTTACAAGGAAGAGTAATCAAATGGTCATTCGGTAGGTGTACATTCAGTTATAAATTGGTTCAGAATCCTTCAGGTGATCTGCCTCATAGATGAAATAATTCAGATTAATTTCTGATAACTCAGTCCAGAAATCTGGTTTCGAGTTAACGTTCGTCCGTGAGCTGGATGAATGCGCTTCAGGAACGAAACTATGCGAACAGCGTTGTGTCAACACTGTCGGCAGCTATAGATGCGACTGTCACGTTGGTTACAGTCTTCGTCCAGATGGAAAAACATGCGAGAGTGAGTTTAAAGGCATATGGCACGATAATTTGGTACTCGGTCTAAAATGCTAGCAGGGTGCTATATAGTGGGGAAAATGGCGAAAAAACGAAGTGAAACGGTCAAAAACCTGCGAAGAAAAGCCTTCGCTCTTAATGACTCAAAAAGCGATTTCGGACGAGTTCCCTTGTAGGCATCTTGCCAATAACCGCTACGTAGATACGGCTGCACGTACGTACTCATATATCCATGCAGCACCGCGGCCGCTTCATATCAATCCCTTCGCTTCATATTTGTACTTCGCAAATGAAGCAATACGAGCATCAGGTACGGTCGTCCATTTGTGGGCGGGCGGGCGCGGTGGGCGTCCGGGTCGGTATGTTGCAGCTTGATAGAGCCTTATTGGGGTACCTTCCTTGAAAGAGACGCTACGCAGCGCCTACTCAGGGGCGGAGTACGTTCTGCCGGCAGTATTAATCCTACTCGGCTCAGGTACTTATCGTGATAACTGTCTTCAAGCATTTCCTTATGTTCAGAGGGCATACTGGCTCTTGATTTATTGTATTACGAGGATGGACACCGAAGTCATCGAGCATATTTGTTATGTGATTGTCGGTCGGGAGATCCACGTCGCGCTGCGGTCATGATCTAATTGGTTCAAAAAATCATTTTGCTGTTATCCGAGCTCAGAATGAGGGAGTATCGACAATTAGGCTCACTGACCCAGACTTGAATGAAGGGGAAGCAATTGAACTGGAGACTCACTTACGAAACACGCAAACCACAATTTTGTCCTCATTAAGCGGATTAACCCTCTAACGTGGAAGTACCACAGGTGCAGTTCGGCTCAGGCGGGGCACTTAGCGGAGCTAGTTGAGGCTACCTTGAGAACACCTGTAAATATATGCAGCCAAAATGGTTCTCTTATAATATTTCGCTACTTCACAGGAATTCACAAGTTTAACCGAAGTGTAACCTTTAATTAACATGAACTAGCAATAGAAAGCAGCAAAAGTATTGAATGCCCCTACCAAGCCGAACTGCTACAATATGTCGAGGAGCTGCTAGCTATTGTATCCATCCCGTGGCATGATTTTCCCAACCGACGAATGCGGTTTATCTCTGTCACCCACGGTCGTTATCCCTAAAGACAGCTCCCGCGATAAAAGTGTCATGGATAGTTGATGTTCAATTATGAAACAGTAGCTGATAAGTAATTCCCCAGAAAAGAAAAAAAGCAAGAAGAGTCCTCAAGAACACCATAAACAAAATCGCGCCCTGACAGTCACACCTCCTTGCGGTCTCTGTGCAAGCCCTGGCTCACAACAGCCCCAGCGCGGATCGCACAGTCTCTGCGGCAAAGCCCGTTCGATCTCAGATCCCTTTATCACATTTCCTAGTAGTGGATATCATCGAATGCTGAAGAAGCAAAAAGTACAAAAAACAACTAAAACAGAGACGAAAAACTCTTGAAAAGAAAAAAAAACATTTAAAAAGCCGGCGTCCGAACTTAGGGTTACATTAGCGTGCATATTTTAGTGTAGTGTAGTGCGTCAAGCTTTTGCACCACGAAAATTGGGTCGCTCGTGATTTGCACTTTTACCGCGTGGTTTATCTGGCGAGAGCGTTGGCAGTTGACGATGTATGTGCTCCTGATTAATAAAATGTAATAAAGGAGAGCAGAATCATTCATGGGCATGAGCGCGTCAGCGAAAAGGACATGCAATTCCGATTAATGCCCGAAGGTCCCTTTCTTAACAAAGACGCGAGCGGCCCTGCCCCTCCGTACGCGAGGCATCGTAGGGAAAGTGGGTGGTCCAAACTGGGCGAGCGTTAGACCTAGAACTTTAGCTAGCTTCGCTCCTCGCTCGCATGTTGGAGCCGCGGAGCAGTGGGATAAGTCCTTAGCTTGGGGCCTGGCAGTACATTACACAAAGAGAAAGATCGAACCCAATGTAGCTACGTCGATACGCGGGCCTGTCTTCCAAAACGGGTTGGGTATATGGACGGGGCGCAGATTGGATCGTTTAAGACCTAGTGTAAGCCCTGCCACCATGTTGTCGTCCGCCCCTCACGACGTGGCATCCCCACACTGCAGCCCCCGCCTTGGCTGCGCTCCAACTTACCCCCTCTCGTTTGCAGGGATAATGACTGTACATCTAATCGCTGTTTTTCTTCGACAAATCTGGCCAATTTTAACCAATGTTTCTAGGCACATGTGGAGGATTCCTAAGAGCATCGCATGGCTCCTTTGCATCTCCAAACTTCCCACAACACTATCCCTCATCAAAGAACTGCGTTTGGGAGATCGAAGGCAGATGCAGGATATCAAATTTTCCTGAATTTCACTACGTTTAACATTGAGGTTAGTGTCTGCTTTGTGATTTCGTCTTCTTTCCTCAACAGGCGTCGTTTCAGGGAATGAAAACCGAATGCGCCTACGATTATGTGAAAATCGGTGAAAGCGAGAAGCTTTGTGGAGAATACTGTAAGATTGAGATTTCTTGACCTTTCTCTGAAACCGATCTTGGGAGTTTATGTAGGAATGAGGTTAGGGGCGAGGGGAGGGGTGGTAATGCAAATTAGGGTAAGATGCTGCAGTGGGAAATGACGTGACTTGCTCTGGGGCGGGGTCCGAGTCTAATCTAGAAACTAATTCCGTCCGAACTGAACACTAGTTACTCGCCTGACCTAGCATGTCATTGTATAGACCAAGTAACCCGTGCCACGACGACTCGGACTGGACGTGCAGTGCACGACGCATCCCAGAAAGGGATTGAAGGGTCACAAGCGCAACCTTTTTATAATACACATCATCTAGAACAGGTGCCACCAACATTTGACTGGTTTTTGCCCTGGTTCTTGAAAAAACAACGCCCTGTAACTCTACTGCTGCTTCATACTGTATTTTTCTTTCTCATTACTTTATCTCTTCCTGGGTTTTTCTGATTGTGTTCCGTTGTTTTTTT